GTCTCTAAGCACATCACTGAGGGAAGAGCTGTTGTTTGTTCTCCTGAGTGTGGGCTCAAGCCTCATTCAAGGTTTTAGCTCAGTAATTGAGTTTTAGAAAGGGAGTGAACTGTTAAATCTGGCTGGAAAGTCATTTGATAAAAGGTAGAGCAGCTGTCCGTTTCGATATCTACTCATGCTGATTACACCCTGGCGGAGAGGGATATTTATATTTACATCAGCAGCCCCTGGATAATAATTCTAGGCCCTGTGCTGTCTGCACAGACTCCTCTTTGTGGGCCCTGAGCTGCACGAGGCGGTTTATCTTGAGGGGGACTGGAAGGTGGTAGGCATTCAGGTAGTCCAAATGGAACCTTCAACTGTTGGCTATGACGGTGTGGATAATGACCAGTCTGCCAGTCCAGTTTCATTTCATGCGGTAAATATGCATTGAGCCCCTACTGTGGAGCGTCCTGTGTACTCTCTAAAACGTGTTCATGGCCAGAGAGAGCGCATGCTGGTCCACGCATGTCTTCCAACTGCTCAGAGAACACTACCCTGAGGCCATGTGCTAAGGGGCGATTTTGTTGCCCCTGGCAGAGTTGCCTCAGCCATGTCTCTGGTTTATTGAGCACTGTGTGCAGACAACAGGGCTCTCTCCATCCTCCTTTGATGGCAGCTGGTTGCGTGAATGTAATGCCTGCTCTTTGATCAAAGTCTCCTGAGCCTGTGGTTTGACGTTCAACTTGGTTTCTAGAGCCGACCCCAGTCACATCCCCCGAGGTAGCTCTCTGCAGATGGAACAGAGCAAGTACAATGAGGGGGCTGTATTTGGGGATCTTTTACTGTTAGGGAAGGGCAGTTTGGAATTTGCATGAAGATGAAGAGGAAGGTGTAAAGGTTGCTGTCCCGGCCCCACCCGTGCCCAGCACCCCGCCCAGCACCCGCCCAGCACCCCGCCCCCCTTGGCAGCCCCGCCTGAGTGTGTCCTGGGGATGGCCCGGGTCCATGCTGGCCCAGGAGGGCCGGGTGTCATGGTCACGTGTGGGCGTTCATAACACGAGTGAAGCAGCTGTACACACCCATGTGCCCGCTTCTGTGTGATGGAAGCACAGCACCTTTGGGGGAACACTGAACATGCTGGCTGTGTCCTGTGCGCACTGTGTGGCTGGTGGTGTCACCAGCACCAGTCCCAGTCTGAACTTGGCGACTGCCTTGCATTGCACGGGTCCCAGCGAGCGTCCCCCACCGCACAGCCAGCACACGGGGACCTGGGCAGGGTCTTCCCTGGGTACATGGCTGAGTCTCATGGGTTCACCGCGCATTTCCCCAGTGACCTCACGGGGAACGGCTTTCCACAGTCCCTGGTCGGCTGCATGCCTTTTCATAAGGAGAAGGTTTGTGATAGAAACGCTTAGAACAGTAGCCGAGACTCACTACAGCCAAGTGCACAGGGCACGTCTCCCTGGCAGAGCACTTCCAGCATGTGCCAGGCCCTAGGCTAGTCCCATTCTAAAATGAAGAACTGTTGGTTTTTATCCTTTTGTCTGAAGATACCTATTCTATAATAGTCCTTTTCATATTTTAACTTTAAATCGACAGCTTATGGTCATATACGTGTGTGAGGCACAGAGTAATCTGATTTGCGAACATAAAATGCAGGGATCAGCTGGGGGTGGTGGCTCGTGCCAACCTCCCAGAGCTCTGCCAGGCTGAGGCCACAGCATTGTGAGTTGGAGCCCAGCCTGGCGACTGAGCAACTTAGGGAGACCTGTCAGAAATAAAAACTATGAAATAGCTGGGGATGTAGCTCAGTGCAGAGCCCTGGGGTTGAGTCCCAGTACCAGAAAGCAGAAGAGAGTGAGAAGAAGTAGTGATTACAGTGAGCTAGGTAGCCGGGCCATCGGCTCACACACTTAGCATTTTTGTGGTGAGAACACTACCTTACTCTCTTGGGTTGGAAATGGACCCCACCACATTAGTACCCGTCCCTGTGTGGCAGAGCAGTGTGGACCATAGCTGCGTTCTGCACCCCACGTGCTCACAGCGGCTGGCTCCTGGCCCTTTGTCTGGGCCTGTGGACACCACTGGCTGCTCCTGAGTCCTGTGCGCAGTGGGAGTGTGGCACCCGCTGTCCTGCCTAGGTCCTTTTCCCGTGGCAGGCCCAGAGAGTCCTGCGGTGCATGTGCACGCGTCGTTTGTCCACTCCCCTGCTGTGCTCTCCACACAGCTGCGAGGGGCTGCTGTGGCAAGTGCTCGGTGACGTGTGGGCACATGTCCACAGACAGTGGCGTGTTGTGGGTACCATCCCAGGAGTGGGCTGGCTGGCTGGCAGGTGATTCTGTCACCACACAGTTCTCCATAATGGCTGTCCTCACGTCATCAAGACCAGCCATATGTGAGGTGTGATTAGAAGAACAAAACAAGAGAACGCTTATGTTAAAGATTATTACAGCAAGAGACGCGTTGCCGTGGGGCCTCTCCGGGTCCACCCTCTCACGTCACATACTCCTCCCGTAGTCGTTGCCATTTCTGCAGCAGTTCTGGAAGTTCCCTTCCTGAGTGTCTGTAGTTGTGCTGCTGTGGCTGCCTTGATGTCCTGAATCCACTACAGGCAGAGTGGATTTCCCTTTCCTGGTCATTTCAACTTTGGGAGGAACCGGAAGTTACATGGTGCCAGATCTGGCAAATAAGGTGGCGAGGACACAGAGTCCTACAAGCTGCCTTTCTGCTGGATGGCCCTCGGCAGCAGTGGTCACTGTGATCGCTCCAGGGGGATTCCTGGTGATGACTTTCACTGTAGTACTTTTTTTAAATTGAAACCCTCCCTGTGTATTTCAGCTACCTTCCTTACGCAAGTTTCCTTTGTTCTGCATTCTCGCTAACATTTGTCTTTCATCATTTGATGAAAGTCATTCTGACAGGTGCGAAATGTTGATACCTCATTGTGGTTTTAATTTGCTTTTAGAGTAGTTAGTCACTTTTTAAAGCGTATCTGTTGGCCATCTGTGTGCTTCCTTTTGAGGAACATCTGTGGGGTCCTCTTCCAGCTTTTGCTCTGTTTCATCCCTTCGCTGTTGCCTCACTGGGCTCCCTGTGTCCCTGTGCACTCTTCCCATCCTAGGCCCTCTGCCCGTGTGTTTCTCCTGTGGAGCCTTTCTAGCTGGCTGTCACC